GACAGGGCAGGCGAAGGCGGGATCGAATGAAGGAAGGGTAGAGGAGTAAAAAGTCGGAGTGATACCGCGTGCCGCAAGGTCTCACCCGCGGCCGGCTTTTCCCTCAGATTCGCGGTCGCCGCGAGTGGAACGCCGCGCGAAATGATCCTTTAATGAAGGAGTGGGGATTGTAATAACTGAATTTTAAAATAAAAAAGAAAAATAAATAAATAAAAAGAGTGTGGGCAATTAGAGGAGTCACACCCCCTCACAGGAAAACTAACACATTCTCTTTCACACTTCTCCTCATTCAAAAAAGAAAGTGCGGGGATCAATTTCAGCGAAGAGAAGAAGAGGAGAAAGACCAGGCGTGTGGCCCTGTGCCGAGCCCTAAACAATCGAAGTTGAGAAGGAAGGAGGAAGTCGTGGTGAAGGAGAGGAAGAATAAGAAGAGGAATAAGAAGGAGAAGTCGAAGGAGGAAGAAGGAAACCTTCGTGCTATTTCTTACCCTCGTTCTTGTATAGAGTTCTTGTAAGGGTTATTTTTCTATTATAGAGTTCTTGTAAGGGTTATTTATACCCTCGTTCATATCAATAAAATAATTTAGTATTCCACTTTATTCCACATTATTTTGAATTTTAACATGGTATCAAAGCTTAATTTTGTACTTTAGCCACTGGTCCTCCTTTGAAAATTGTCGAACTCCCTTCCTGCCATCATCGAGGTGGGAAGGGATGGGCACTCATCTCGATATTTGAAACAACATTTTTTTTCTCTCCCTACAAGTTTTGTTTGCTGGCCAACTCTTCCTGAATCGAGAGCTTCAACCCTGCTGGTCTCCAGAAAATCTATAGTCGGCATCCCCTCAGTCGAGACAAAACATGTTGAACATGTTGCTTTCATTGCGCACGACATCCGCACGAGCCGAACAAATCGAGAAGAAGGGGGTCGTGAGCAAAACATGTTGCTTTCATTGTGCACGACATCCGCACGAGCGGAACAAATCGAGAAGAAGGGAGTCGTGAGCAGAGGCTACAACCATGGCGGCGCCATCGATGTCGCCACCTGCCTCATCATCATCTCGCTGGAGGTATCGCTGCAATCGATCGGACAACGCCAGCGAAATCCATCGTTGATGCTTTTTTATGCAGTATTTTTTCCCGTATCGCTGCAATCGATCGGACAACGACAACCGCCATCGTTGATGCTTTTTTATGCAGTATTTTTTCCCTACCCAAGCGTGAGGGGGAGCTGCGTTTTCAGCCGGTCATTTCTCCTACGATATTTTTTCTTCCCTGCTCAAGCGTCAAGAAGAGCTGCATTTCCAGCCTGTCATTTCTCTTGCAGTATTTTTTCTTCCTTGACTCAAGCGTCAGAGGGAGCTCTATTTCCACCCACCCTTTATGTTGCTGCCTTCTCTGTTAGCAAAATTTACTGGGTGTGATTTACATGTTTTCTCTGCAGCCAACGACAACCGCGGTCAACTAAAAGTAAGTTTTCCTGTAGGTTGTCTCTTTCCATGCAAAACTCAAAATTCAGTTAAGCTTTAATCCAACAAATTCAGTCAAGTCTGAATCTCTCTTCTACACCGAAACATATGATAGACAAAACTCAAAATTCAATCAAGTCTAAGTCCAACAAATTCAGTCAAGCCTGAATCTCTATTTTACGTCAAAACTCATGACAGAAAAAACTCAAAATTCAGCGAAGCCTGAATCTAGCAAATTCAGCCAAGCCTAAATCTCTCTTATACGCCTAAACACATGACATACAATACTCAAAATTTAGTTAAGCCTGAATCTAACAAATTCGATAATCCAAACGATCATTTTTTCTTGACTACTCAGCAAGTTATGAATTATTAACATACATTCCAAACTTGAGGGGGAGTGTTAAGAATTATAATAGAAAATAATTTATTTCTATAAGAAGTTATGAGGAATAAATTATTTTCTTAATATAAGGAGGTATTTCCTTTCCTATTTTATATTTATTTCCTTAGATTAAGAATTATTTGGTTTACTATTTTATGTTATTTCATATATCTCGTAATAATTGATATGAATTAATTATTGGAGATATTATATGATATATCTTTTCTTTCATATCATTTCTTTTTATTATTTTTCCTATTATAGAGTTCTTATAAGGGTTATTTATATCCTTATAAAGGGTTATTTATATCATCGTTCATATCAATGAAATAATTGAGTATTCCACTTTATTCCACATTATTTTGAATTTCAACAGTTGAACCACAACCGAAGGAAGGATGAGACAGCAATGCTGTGGCGTGCACTGCTGGTTAGGGCCACACGATCGAGGGCGAAGGAAGAAGAAGAAGGGTTGATTTCTCCATTTGCACTGCTCAATTGAGTTTCATCGAGACAAAAGAAGAGTAAGGAGGGACATTATGCTTCGAGGTTTGGGCATCCGAAGTTATAAAAAGTATATTTGAGATTTTAATAATTTAATTAATATATTATTATTTAAATAAATTTATCTATGTGTGTGTTTAAATGCAAAGTCAAATACAACCAGGTCTTTAATACAGGGATTTAGGCTTTGAAGGAGAGGAATTTTGTGAAGCGAGTGGTTAAGGAGAGAGATTGAATGTTAAGCCTTATGTTATTTTTGGAATTAATAATATAAAAATTTAATTAATATTATTAAATTTATTTCTTTTAGAAACTGTGAAAGAATATGATAAATCTGTGGAATTTGAGGAAGATGAAGAAAACATGTTAGTCTTAGTCATACAATTCTTGCATAATTAAATAAGTTAACTAAATTTAAGATTTTTTTTTTGGATCTGGTTTTTATAGTTATGTGCACTTTTAATTGATTTAGGCACTGTTAGTCAAAGAAAGTGAATTAAAAGGTTAAACTTTTTCAGAGGTTTCTTAAGGCAAAGGTGAGTAAATATTTTTTATGCATTAAATTAAGGTTTTTTTTTAAATAATTACTTTATTAAACAACTTAAAATAATTATTTCTTTCATGTCTTGTAGTTTGAAAGTTTGAATTATATTTTACAAATAGGAGGAAAATGATTGATATGTGAAAATATATTCTTAAAAGAATTTAAATTGATATTAAATGTTAAGTAAAAGTTTAAGTCTTACATGATTACCCACATATTACACTGATAGAGGATACGAGGTACTCGTGCATGATAAAAGAAATGGTAAAAGTGTATCTTTAGATACAATTTTGATGGTACCTTTGAGTACGTTTTTAACGGTACCTTTAGGTACATATTTTAGGATAACTTCGAGTATGACTGTACTCCCGTTATGACTTTTAAAAATGTTAGAAAGGGTAAATACTTAATTTACAACGGAAATGAATAAATTTAAAATGAAAGTTTAAAGTTTTATAAAGTAATGACTTTTATTTTTGTTTGATCATTCATGCATCACATTGACATAATAACTTAATTCATATTAAGATTATAATTGCTCAATAAGTCAAACTTACTATTAAAATTAATTATCTATTTCAAGAAATGAAAAGTTGTATGTTGATATGTTTGGTAGGATGACTTGGTTTACAGGAGGACTATTACTACTAGGTATTACGATGATAATTTTTTATATTATTTTCTTCAGATAATGATGTACTGTTCAGTACTGGTTTGAGATGTTGTATTCATATTTTCTTTTTGTTTCTAAATATACTTTTGTTCAGTACTGGTTTGAGATGTATTCATATTTTCTTTTTGTTTCTAAATATACTTTTTGAATTTTAATGGCCTTTTTATATATTGAAAGATTTTATAAATATGTTGATAATTATTTGAATGTTTCACCGCCCAACTGCAATTTCTAACTTAATTAATTCTAAATTATTAGACCGTGTCGTGACAACAAGTGATATATGATAGAAAATTCAATAGTTTTATTAGAATTTTAGATTAAGATTAAAACTAAATAACAATAAACTCCAACTGGTGTATAAACAAATATATATATATATATATATATATATGTATATATATATATATATATGTATATATATATATATATGTAGTGTGTGTGTGTGTGTGTGTGTGTGTGTGTGAGACAGTTGAAGTCTCAATAGAGATATTTTGTTTGAAGACTATCATTTTTTTAATAAAGGAGGTAAAATTAGGAAAAATTGCAATTCATATTTTTCAATAAATATATGCATTTAATATGATAATTTAGATGTCTAAAATGTCAGCTCATGCTGGAAAAGCCTTGTCCCCAATTTCCACCTCAAATTCTCTCTTTCCACAATTTAGCCTCACTTTCTAGTAGACTCACTTTTTTTTTTGTTTTTTGTTTAGATGACATGTTAACTCATGAGCCCAAGGACTAGCGCAAGTAAACATATGAAAGGGTAGAGTTTGAGCCCTTATTCTGCCCAAAAGAAGAAAAATTGTAGCTCACAAGCCTGAAATGACTCAAGGATCTATTATATTAGTTTATTAACTAGCCTTACAATAAAATCCCATTATATTATATTTGTGCTTATGTAGATTCACTCATTATAAAATAGAAAATTTGAACCTAAAGCTTCAATCTTATCAATCTTATCAGCTGGCCCAGACCTAGACCATTCAGAGGTACTTCATCTTTTTATTCAAAAGGTAAAAGCCTGCCAGCCACTCAGCCACAGCAGCTTGCCTCTGCAGCATTTCCCTGAATGGATGGCCTACCAAATATACTCGATCTTTCAAAAACAAAAGCACATTTCTCTTGGATTACCAAAATCAACATAAATATATAGCATATAACATAATCATTAGCAATTAAATGACTTGCTAAGTTCATGAATTTACGTTTAGTTTCTCTCCTTAACTACAATATCAGTTGTACATAGAAATTCTGTAACAGTGACCTAAACTTTGAAGTTTCTGAAGAAATTCCAACCTTCAAAACAAAAAAAACTTCTTAAAATTTAAGAATTTAGCTTTCTATGTAGCCACTATGAATTCTACATCAGAATTTCAGAGACTCCCATGAACCATCATTAAAACAAGAAAAGAAACTAGCTTTGGCAAAATACAGAATAATCATATAATCTTCTCTTGAGTCTACATTTTAATGCACATTTACAACTTCAAACTGAATATCTTGCCTTTGATACTGAGAAAATGAGGAATCTTTGTATTTTACAAATCATGAGAAGAAGCATCAAAGGAATGAAGCATAGAACTGATAGAAGACAGTTAAGGCCTACTCCAAAATGTCTGTTGGCCATAGCTGCCTCCATGTAGATATTTCAACCTTGGAATAGAGTTTTCTGATTCCTCCATAAAATCCATCGGTCTCATTTCCTTCTTCACGATGATCCTTCCGGTTTACTGTTGTTTGCCTCCACCTCGAACCGGGAGTGTATTGGTTGAACTCCAAGATAATGGTTTCTGCCAAAATTCAGAAGGAAGAAGAAATTGCTTATTTGTAGGAGATAAATGTAAAAAGTTCCTATATAATTACATATTCAAAGCCTAGATTATACATGCTAGATTTATAGTGCCCTAATCTTTCATATCGCATAAATAATACCACCATTTTAACTTAAAAAAAAATGAAATGCACCTTTTTATGCATAAGTGGCATGTATATAAAAACTGAAGTTTAAGCGTTAAATATGTAAATAAATAGGAATTGAGTGGCAGGTATATAAATCTTACAAAAGAAAAATCTATATGGTTCACAAAATGAATGGCTACTCATGTTGCGGCTGTTGCAGATTGCACAATGGTTGCTTGTGAAAAATCATAACCCTTACTTATAAAAGATATATAAGACAGCAGCCCTACTTTCTTCATAAAAAGACAATTTGCAAAAAGAAATCTCAAATCGTCCTAAAAGAAATAAGCACAAATATTAGATACCATTCAACTCTTATGGTATCCTTACCAAGAAATTTAAACCATGACTAGATTTGCATAGCTCATTTTCTTCGAACGAAAATTAAACTCCACAACTCATAAGACAGCAACACAACAATAACTTCTAAATAAGATATGAAATTTGCTATAAAAAGTTTATTTCCTAAAATTTTAAATCTTAGAGAGTTAAATTACAATAAGGAATTTAAAATCCTCACCAGAACTATGACAACGGCAGAAATGTTCATATCCATCACATCTTTCAAGGTGTCCTACCACTCCATACCACCATCCTGTTAAACACAATCATGTTAAACTTTAAGCCAAAGATTTTTAAGAAAATACCATCATTAAAATGGAAATTATAGAAAGATTACACAACTAAGAAAATTTAACTAATGAGCTAAACCTTAAAAGCACAATAGAATGGAATAATATTTAGAACAAATACCATATGGAAATTCTTTGTTTCTTCTCCATTGGATCTCAATATGATCGCCAGGATGAAGATCATGAAGGCAGTCAGAGAGGTGTAAATCGTGCGGATTATTATCAGTAGGTGTTGCCCTTATTCTGTCCCACTCTACTCCTTCCTCAGTTACGATGGTCCGGCGCCCATGAGGCGGATACCTACGGATGAAATAAATGTTTTCTAAATCAATCATAAACTCTGCTATTCTGTAGAATATGCTTTGTGTTCGACCTCTTTCTTTATTTACATATCTAACACATAAAGTTTACTTTTTTACATTTATATGACTCAAATCTTTCATATCACATACAAAATACCACTATTTTAATTTTTGAAAAAGTAAAATACACCTTTTTTCATGCATAGATAAGGTGGTATGTATGTTAAAATTAAAGTTCAGGCGTTAGATATATAAATACATAAGAATTGAGTCAATCTGCCAAATAACTCACCGGGCACGGAAGGCGTCTGTGGTAGAATCATAACTTAGCTCTGCATCATAACATGACAGCATAAAACCAACATGTCCATGCTGAAAGAAAATAAGAAAAAAAAAAGGGGTAAATTTTGTTGAAAAGAGTAGAAGAAATAAGCATGATATACCTGCTACATCACGATATTACTAACATAAAACAAGCTTTACTTCCTAATTAAAGTTAAAGATCTCATTCAAATGAATAATAAAAAAAATAATTGTGTTATGTTCTTACAACACTAATAAAAATAATTTGGCGATTAAAATTATTTTTCATTAATATGTTTTAATTGAACCTCTCATATTACTAATAATTGCAGAGATATATGGCTCAAGTCCTAATAAATAAGCCTTTACTTTTGATTTAGGTACGCATAGCGCCCATAAATGTAACATATAAGAAACTTACTAAGTTTAACATTACTTAAATTTAAAGATGAGTGCATGGTTGCAATTGGTTATTAGCTTACTCAGTTTAGGACTCAAATTTAAAATAGATGGTCAAACTTTTTTTGCTTGTTATTAGGAATTCTCGTTGGAATTGATTTCAAACGAATAACTAATTCATTGAATGGTGATTAATGACTCATATTAAGATCAATGTTGAAAAGGAAGCAGATTTATAAAGTATTATGAATTCAGCAAAATAAATGAAACATTGATATACCTATATCCAATCCCCACATTCCAATTCATTAATTCCATAATTAAATTGATCACTTGCTAAGCTGATCTCATTTCTTCTCAGAAATAGAGGTGAAAAACCAGATAGATGTTCATTGAAGATCAGTCAAATTAATGAATACAGAAAGAAAAAAAAAATCATTGGATCATTACCTCTCGGTTGTAGATTTGAGCTGGGAACCAGAATTTGCCAGTCTCCAGAGACAAATACCATGACATGATGGAGTCATCAGGCAAAGAGCTCCTATGCTTTCCACTTCCATCGAGCCTCAACTTTAGCAGGGAAAGAAGCCATAGACGTGTGAGAGATCCAAATAGCCTCTTTGTCTTTCCGATGGAGGCCTCGGTGGCGACGGAGGACTCGTTCCTCACATTCAAATACTTAATCCAACTCCTTTCTGCCGCTTTTCCGATCACTCTCCCCCACTTCTCCCTCATCTGCCTCTCCCACAAGTAATCACTTCTGCACCTCTGCCTCAAAGACCTGCAGACTCCAGCCATGTTACACAGCCCGGCAGGCGAAAGCTTTTCCAGAATACACTCTAAGGCCAACTCAGGCAAGTCGAGAACAGAAATCTCGGTCGAATCCGCTATGCTTTCGATCCGAGAGGCATGCTTTTTTGCAGCCATGGATTTGAAAAAGTACTTGATAGAGTTCACATAAAGCAAATGGAATTCTTGGGCAAACAAGAAAGAAAGCAATCTACCCTCGTTTGCCCATGAAGGGAGAGGCTGCAAGGGAAGTGACCTGGATAAGAGGAGGAAGAAGGAGAAGGCTGATATAAGGAAGAAGAAAAGCATCAGTAAAGTAAGAAAAACGGGGTCTCGTCGACTTGCTGATTTGTGAGCCACATAAAAAATCAATAAAAAAATATAAAGGAACCTATTCTTTCAAATGAGGAGGCAAAAAAAACTTTGACTTATGCAGATCTATCCAGGAATTATCCCTTATCAACTATCGGTATGCTGAGGGTGAAACCCACTACAGCTTTAAAGCAGGATTTGCCGAATCGAGGAGGCGAGATTAACGAAGAACACCAAGCTCCGAGCAACAGGGGGGGCCTCTGTCCGAGAAGGCTAGTGGATAGGACACCTGTTGCCCGGCTTTGGGCTCCCAGATTTCTCTTGTATCAAACCTGCAAACTAAGATTTGGGATTTGATCTGGAGATCGAGATGAGTAATATAAGAAGGATCTTGGTGGGGAAAATCAGTCGAGAAGGAAGGTGTATCTGGCTTGAAGAAGATAGGGGATGAAAGCGACGTTGGGCTTCCTCCGTTCGTCGGAATCCTAACCGGTGCACTTCAACTCCTCAGCAACAGATCCAAAATCGATCTCCATCTCTCCCCAAGAGAGAGCTCGGAGAACAGAGAAGGGAGGTGAGGGGGAGTGAATCCGAGGAGCAGGATTCCAAAACGATTGGGTGTAGTTATAGGGGGAAATAGGAGGAGAATTACCCGTCTGCGGATTGTTAGGGAAGAACACCTACCAGCAACGAACACTTGGCCTTTGCCCTTTGGAAGGGCATGCTTCGCTAGTATCAGAAAATCATATTATGAAAAATTTAAATGCATACGACACAATTCTTATGTATTTACACATCTAATGTATCAAATTTAATATTTATACTTATAACGCTTTGATCTTAAAAGTTTATACAAGAAAAGTGTATATTTAAATTTTAAAAATTTAGTTAATGTGATATTTTTTGATGTGATATAGAAATTTTAAATAGTATATATATGTAAATATGAAAATGTAGATTTTAGATATGTAAATTTATAAGATAAGAGTTGCGAGACGTTGTTTATTGGTAGGCAGCATTTGTAAGACCCTGAGGGGCACAGGTTCGAACATTGTCTTGAATTAGTCACATGGTTTAGTTGGAGGGTCCACCCTCCGACCAATCTTTTTAAATATATATATATATAGCCATCGTGGGCAATAATGGCTGGAGGATATATATATATGCCTGTGACCCCTTAGGCTGAGGGTTCGAATCCTCTCTGGCACAATGGGCCCTAAGGAGGTGGTACTCGAATTGCTTGGTATATTAGGGGTGGTTGAAGGATCGTATAATAGCCTCTGGTCCTACTGCAGGTCTAGATGGTCGTCCATATGAAGACTGCAATAAGATCTGCTTCATACGTCTAGCGTGTAAGGTGCGGCCTGTCCATGAAGATGCCTACTCGAGCAACCGAGATATGGGAAGTATAAGATTTGAGTTAAGCGATAGCATATCAGATGGATCTCCCTCACAACTTCAATTACTCAATGCAAGTATTTGAAATAAAAAAAATAAACCCAATGTATGACAAGCTCATAAAAGTAAACACTTTCCATTTTTTATGAAGTTAAGACAATTTATAAAAAAAGTCACAAAATAATAAAAACACATTTAATTATGAATCACCATAAAAGAAGATTGAGGCGGCTTTTTTCTAATATCAACAAGAGATATGCAGTCGGATTGAAGAAGCTTATCCAAGATAAATCTTTTGCCATAAATGAAAGACTCCCATAAATGAAAGACTCATCGTTAGGTTGTTTTAGTCCTTGAAGTTTTCAAGTAGACCAGCCTTCACCTCATTCATGTCTCGATGCAATCGAAAGCCGTTCCTAAGCCAGCTTCCACTTTCACTTCCAAAATAACAACATTGGTCCTTTAGCTCCATAATTTTTTTTTTCCAAGTCCATGATTCAACCTTGCATCTTTGACAATTTGGCTTTAGCTTGCTTCGAGGTGTTGTTAGGCTCCAGTATTTGGCAATAGAAACTAAGTCACCTTTATTTCTTGCAAGCTCCCCATGAGTGGTGACCAATTTTAATAGCAAGTCCGCCACATCCAATGAGAGTTTTGTTTAGTGGATAAAAGATGATCATGTTGATGACCACAAACAACTGGCATCCATTGGCAGATTACTCATAGTGAATAGGTCAGCAAGTAACAGAATCTCTTCGTCAACCCTCTAATTTTTCAAAGCCAAAGACACATCCATAGACTGTGGAGCTGGCGAGTCTCGCCTTAGAATTGAACCATCAACAATAGTGTCATGCGTTAAGAGAGTAAGCACGATTTATGACTCAAAGGTCTCTAACCATCTAATCTCCATAAGCTCACTCTATTTTGACCCGAAGAAGAAAATAAATAGTTTTGTTGAGCAAGAACAAAATATAATAGGCCCACACCTTTTATAGAATTTCAGATCAATCGGTTCTGATACACTTTTCATAAGAAAAATTAAATACAAAGTAAAGGTAATGAGAAAAAATGAAGGCAAAATCGACCAAAAGTTTTACTTTCATTCACGATTAAAAGATTAAATAGCTTTCCAACATTTCATTACAAATATTCAAAAAGAAAAAAACGAAGAAAATTTCATAAGTGTAGGAAAAAGCCAAGCACAAGTCACACATTGAACACTTACCATCCTCCATCCTCCACCTCCTCCTCGTCTAATAATATAGTGATAAATTTCTCTATGTCAGTCCACATGGAGATGACTAACTATGTCTTTATCATTTGGTCGGTGTCGAAGGAAACCCCCTCCTTGACAATCATATTAGTGTTGGGTGGGACGAGAGCTCGACAAAACATTTGTAAATATCTTCATTACTGCCTCATCTGCACTAAGGCGGTTATCTGCAGGAGTATTCAACAAAAACTCTGACACTCTGAGTATTTTAGGTTCAACCACCTTTGCTCATTCTCTTGCCGCCTTTGTCTTTGCCTTGGCTGCTGCCATCTTTTGTTCAATCTCCAGTCACTCTTCATGTTCTTAAAGCATTGTTGACCGGAAGAGGGAAGCCTCCTAGGCCATCAGTTGGTACTTATCATTTAGTCAGCACAAGGCAGTCATGCTTTCTTCAAAAGTGCCTCTTCGTAAGTGAGAGACCAAATGATGTCGGCTAGTAGTGAAGGATAAAGGGACACCGACAAGGAATCAAAATACCAGTCTTTTGAAAGTCAATGTGTGCGAGCCTACCGTTCGAGCTGGTGCTCACCTTCTCCTCCTTGTTATGTAACAAAGTCAACTTGAATGTGGATCTTTTCTTCTTCTTTCGATATGGAGGAAGGTGTAGGTCACTAAATCAATCATAGAAGCTTTCCCTA